CAGTTGTTGGAGGTTTTAGAGGACCTCAGGAGACCAGTTGTTGGAGGGTTTAGTGGACCAGTTGGAGGTATTGGAGGACCTCAGGAGACCAGTTGTTGGAGGTTTTGGAGGACCTGGTTTAAATTAAAGATCACAATTATCCAATACAGACTTCAGCCTCTTCCTTTGAGCTCAGTCTTCTACAGATGAGTTTTTGAACTTGGTCTTCATGATGTTCATTGAGGAACGTTATTCTGAAACTGTTCCACTATTTTTTCCACACTCTGCTGAACCTCTGCCCGTCTTTACTTCTAAAATGCTCGTTTTATACCCGGTCCTACTGACCTGTTGACAATTAACCCAATTTATTAGAAACAGCTCCTCCAGCTGTTTCTAACTCCCACCACTTACTTTTCTTGCGTCTCTTCCTACGTTTTTTTTATTTTTTTTATACGCGTTGCTGCCATGAAATTCTGAACCCAATATTTTCTTCTAAAAAGTCATTTGAAATGTTTACGGTGTTCTACTGGGAATGAAATATGGCTTTATGACATTTACGAATTACTGCATTCCGTTTTTAATTACATTTCAACGACTCATCTTTGAACCCGTGGTTGTTAATTCTTCACTTTTTCATAAAGTAGACCGAATGACCTCCAACCCAACCAGCTAAACATCTGGAGATAAAAGAGCTTCTTCCTCTTCTCGGGAAGAGCGTTCCTGTAGAAACTGTGATGGAGACTGCCATGTTGCGGCCATTTTTAAATTTTGATTCAACAGTTCTATGCGTTGGACTTCGCTCTCTGCTACCATTATACCAAATTTCTGTGCAATATGGCAAAACAATCAATGAGTTATAGTCTTTTTTTTCCATTTAAGCTATGGTGGCCATCTTGGATTTTTGATTTGAATTTAGTACGTGATGGGAAACGTTCTCAGCTAAAAACTCACCAAATTTCAGCTCTATATGTGTAAAAATAGCCGAGTTAAAGCTATTTAAATGTAGCTTTGGTGGCCATCTTTGATTTTTTTATTTGCAGTGTTTCCCTTACCATTATATACAGCAGGGCGCCCCCGCCCTGTCAACAGAACCAAACGTCCCCCCAACCCCCCGTGGACAACGGCCAGCACGGGCGTAGCGCTAAGCTAGCAGCGTGCAATACAGATGGGCTAGCTAAAAAGCTACAGTTAGCGCCCCATTTCCCTCAAAATAGACTAGGCCTGTTGGGATAAACAACACAAAGTTGTTTTTCTCTGCAAAAAGAAGCTGAGAACTTGTTTACAGATTTTTTAATTAAAAGCTTTGTGTGAAAAATGCTATGCCAAAGTGTTCAAACTACACCGAGGGTCCGACATTTTTAGAACCAAAAAAAAAAGGAAGGAGACAGCCCATGTCACGTCAAGGGGCCTCCCTCCCATTTTTTTTTAAAAAAGATACTGCTAGCTCCCTCACTATCCATCCTTTGTTTCTAAGTCTTATACTGCCATCCAGTGGTTGAAAAAAATGTACTACACTCAAAACAAATTAACCAACATTTATTTTTAAATTTGACAAATTGTCAAATTGCAAACAATATTATCATTTATCGCAATAATTTCTGAGACACTTAATCACCCAGTAAAATTTGTTATCGTGACGGGCCTAAAATAGACTGTACAATTCTTTGAGCTATAATTTGGTGTGGTCGTAGCTGAGAGCGAGTTGTTGTTAATGTAAATTAAAGATCCAAGATGGCCGACTTGGCTAAAAGGGAAAAAAATAGTGTAACTCAGTTATTTTAAAAAATATAGAGCTGAAATTTGGTGAGGTTATAGCTGAGAATGTTCTCCATCACATACTGAATACAAATCAAAAATCCAACATGGCCGCCATAACTTAAAATTAAAAATGTCTAACTCGATGATTTTTTGCCGTATTCAGCTGAAGTTTGGTATGGTGGTAGCTGAGAGCGAACCCCAACACAAAGTGTTGTCGAATCAAATTTAAAAAATGGCCACAATGAGGAAGACCCCGACGGTTTCTCCAGGAACGTTGTAGTTTGTTTTTTTTGTCGTCCGGAGTGTTTCAGCTGCATAAACTTTCTGAGTAAAAAAACAAGAATGCCGAGTTGTTGCTGAGCTGGAAACCATCGATTGTGGTTTTTCAGCCTTTACTGCCGAACAACAGGCACAGCTGTTTATTGTCCTTTTCAAACCGCAGAGGGAGAGATGCCGGCTGGATTTAAAGAGCCGACACCAGCAGGTGGCCGGGAGAGGAGGCCTTCACACGCTAACCAGAGTTGTTCTTCTTGCTCAATCTCTTCCAGAACAACGTCCTCGTCTT